GGGGGGGGTGGGGGGGGGGGGGTGCGCTTGGTCAGGGAGTGATGATGAGCGTGATGTTGGATCATGCAAGCTCCACTGCAATACTGTAATAATAATAATCATTCGTTCTGTCATAATCGTTCTGTCAAGGGGGAGGGGCGGGCGTCCGACGGAGCATGTAGTACCGCTCGCTCTAGAGGATTTTCTCGCATTCACCGTCACCGTTCTGCCATGAACTCCAAATTGGCCGTGGTGCAGATTTCATAATTTCATTAGCAGGCCACGGAATCTCAGAATATCTCTTCCTCCTCAGAGTGTCAAAAGCGACTTCATGTCTACCTGGGCAGGGATCGAGTGCAGTGGCAGAAACTGGGATTCGGAAAGCTGGATGGCGATTGCCTGCTGCGACATGAGTACAGTTTCCCTTGTTGACTCAAATTTGATTCCCGCAAAATTAATCTCCTAGTTGCGGGTCAGATTAGTGGGCCTCGTATTAGTCCCATCATAATTCCGAAATTTAATAACTGCGTTTTTGAGCTTTGGAGCCCAACCTCGGTGCGTCGATCGATGAAGATTTTGTTCTGGACAAATTTTCTTCCCTTTCACACCAGATTTCCGAGCCCGAGCCGTAGACATCGCGTCTTCGGTCGAAAACAATCCACCAGGATTGTTGGACAAATTTCCCCCAATTTCCCCCTCTCATTAACGAACTCCAATCACATACAACAGCATTTCGCAATCACGTTCATGCCTCCGTATTAATTAATTAATTCATCGCTAAGACGTCTCTAACTTTAACGACTTTATTAACTCTCTCTCCCGCCGCGCCAGAGGCTGATCTCAGATCAGATCAGAACGGGCTCGGAAAGCGGGTCGATCTCCTTTCCACAGGCCCGTCATCGGACCCGGTGGAAAGAGAAGGGGCGCCGTATGTAACAAGAAACGATGGCCGAACCCCACCAAAAGAACAAGCCCGGACGGGAGCCCCAAGCCCAAGCCCGAAGGAGGGGAAGTGGGAACCTGGAAGGGAGGAGCGTCTTAGTGTGAGGTCGAAGGTCTCATGTCTGCGCGCTTGCCCCTCGTGTTTTTAAGCCCTTCCCCCAACCCCAGCCCCCGGCCCCACCCGAGCCCCAATTCCCCGAAGACACAGCGAGTCCCCGCGTCCCCAGTCCCGAGTCCGAACTCGACCCCGGTGTCGGGTCGGGTCGTCTGGTCTAGAGTTACTGTAGGTTACCCCGGTTCCCGAGACTGCCCGTTCTATATTTATTTCTGCGCTTCGTGAGGCGACCGGACAATTTTCCTGGTCCGAAATATACCAAACTTCGAGCTTTGCTTCTTTTATTATTATGGATGTCAGCTGCTCGCCAAAAAGGACACATTGGGGTTTCAACCTCCACGAGCCAGTTAACAAAATGCTGATGGAGTAAGACACGGATTGACTTCAATACGGTCTGTACCCGAATAAGAAGATCTGAGTTATCCTGAGCTAGAATGGCTCGAAAGTCCTCAATGCGATCGTGTCAAAAACTGAAGATTTCTCTCACGAAAAGCTTCGGCTACGGTGTTTCGAAACTTGGCGATATTTGTGAGGGAGGAGATGAAGAATTTTTAGTGGAATGTGATTCTTGTGAGCTCCAAGCTGCTTCGTACTGAGTGGAAGTTGAGGGGAATCGAGGGATCAAGCTTCTTGAACCTTCCTTCATGAATAGAAAATGATCGCTTCCTCAAACTTCATATGTGTGCAATCACCTGATTTTCCTATATTACTAATTTCAGATACAATCTATGAAGTAACAGAATTCACTTCACTGAATATTCACTCAGTGGAGACTTCGTGTGGTATTGTCATGGGCATTTTACTAAAGCCTTTGATATCTTCATTTAATCGGCAACGGCTTTCCTCTTCCGAAATCACTCGCCTTTGTCATCATGGTCCCTAATAGTAAGATCACGCCCATGTTAAAATTTTAAGGGTTTTACCAGTGGCTTAATGCTTTCGGTTTGTTTCTCCCCAACAAAAGCTTTATTCTGCCTATGAAAAGAGTAGATCAAACTCGAGTTCTAGTATTTGTTTTGGCTCTCATTTCACCTTTCATATTTTCCTACTTGCGTTAAATTCAGCATAATATACTTCCATAAAATATCTAACGAAACAATTTCACTTGGAAATCAATTTCTAAGTAGATTTTTAAAAAAATTGATGAATTTTGATGAATTTTTTTTAAAAGTCTTTTTAATACAAAATCCCTTAGTATTCTATTTTTTATTCAAAGATTCTGTGATTTCGTACAATCTGTATCTCCTAAATTTTAATCAAGCGTTACAAAACTATGTACGATACTCACTTTGCAATAGCATTTTTTTTTAATGTTTTTAAATTAAGTATAGTTAAAATCACTCATTGCGTACCTCGTTTTCATTTCTTTAAACTAAAGTGTTAAAAATATATCAAGGAAATCATATATTTATATATGTATGTAGCCTCAGTTGTGTGCGCCCAGGCTGAAATCTGAGATATACGTATATATTTATATTTATAAGCAACCTAAACTTTCGTAGTACAATATATGACTACTTGTATCAGTGATTGCATATAAAGTTGAACAACCATGCAATAATATTTTCAGCTCCAACTATGTCATTGTTAGGCAACCCATTGGACACTCAAATCGTGTTCCGTTTGTTATTATAAATTATAGTTTTCTATGAATTGCTCTACCTATCTCTCTGAACGCATGTGGCAGACACAGCGGTGGCTCATACATACTGTCGGAAAGCAGTGTCTTGCCATGCATGGAAAGAAGGCCGAGCAGATGGAAATTCATCTCATCACCATCGTTCCAGCTGAATCTCGACTAGTTTGATCTTCTCGTGCAAAATTCCTGAGGATCTCCTCCTCTTCACCACCTCGAGGCTCCGTCTCGTGGACCCGAAAGTCCTCGTCTCTATTGAAAAGATAACAATCGAAGACGATCTGCTCTCTCGTCTTCTCGTTCGTACTGGAAACAGTGAGCTCGGGAGATGTGGACGTCGAGAGATGGAGATCGAGATCAGAGTCGAAGCGGTAGCTCAAAAGTCGAGCTCGGCAGTCGGGCATCCACGATTCCATGTACTGGCGAGCGGCGGAGGCGAAAAGCGGGGCCTGCTGCCGGTACCGCTGGGGCCAACACGGGGATGGAAGGAAGGAAGCAAGCAGCCAGAGCATCATCCAGAGCCTCCCGGCCCGTCCCGAAAGCGAGCACTGGGGATCGTCGCGCAACATGCCATGACTTCATAAATCGGTGTTTCGCTTGAACAGTCCGCAAATTTATTGCCCCTTTAAAATGCGTCCCTCGGTGCTCTAAGCCCTTCCCCGAGCCCCCTCTCGCCCGTCCCCGAAGGGGGGAGGCTCGGGCAGCCGACCGGCTGTGCCCGGTGGGTGCCTCTGCCAAGCCCCAAGCATCTCGCCCAGGGCGGGGGGCCACGTGTCCTGTTGACCCTCGACGCGCCCCTGCATGTAGGGGCTGAAGATCTACATTGGTCGCGGGCCTCGGATTAATTAGGCACAGTTCATTTCGCTGGTAATATTAAACCGCCCTTTATTTTAAACAGCTTTTTAGGTTTAAGGCGTTAAGATGGACGCAAACTTCTAAACGAACTTAAGGACTGGAGTTAAAATATCGTGTCATCTTCGGAAGTCTCCCATCTCGACGCTTCCACTTAAGACTTTTGTCTTTAAGAGGAAAAAATAAGTGTTTACCTTCTTTAATCTCGGAGGGCCGCCCTCGACGCTCGCGCCCGCTTTCTCTCTCTTACTTTTCCTTGTTTATGAGATTTCGCCGAGTTTTCTAAGCCCCCGGGGCGTATAAAAATTACGACATTCTTCGCCTTCTTTTCCCGAGTGGAACGGTGGATGTTGACGACGACGACACGTTGTGCGAAGCCAATCACCGGATGCCAAACGAAGCAAAAGAGCGCCTCCCAATTACTTACGCTCCGAACGAGAGCCGCGAATCTTCATGATGAGTGAAATTTGGGTTTGTTTAGCGCAAACAAGGCTAAGCACATTTGAGAACATGCCCCACATCAATGCGCTTACCGATTTATTAAGCCCTCGGAAGCGAAAGTAATTGACGCCCCCCCCCCCCCCCCCCCCCCCCCCCCCCCCCCCCGACTAAGCGGTCGGCAAAAGGACTCCGGTCCGACCCGACGGACGCATTATCATCGAACAGAGAGATTTTATCTCCCACTGCAGGCTCATTACCACGCGTAGGGTATTTTGCCCCCTGCCAAGTAGAGTTAATTATACTGTCCGAGGGCCAGCGGGCAGCGGGCTGTGCCCGGTGAGATGCCATTTAGTGCTCCGGGGTTTAAATTCTCGGGGGTGCTCCATCAGCCTCCGCCCCACCGGCTCCAGCCGGTCCCCGTTGACGTCAGTCAGTCCATAGTTGCCCGCATCGCAGTGCTTCAGTCGCCGACTCAGTCGCAAAGGAACTCGGGACGAAGCCGCGCCTCTCCCCCCACCCCTACCCCCTTCCTTTACCCCACCCCCCTTCAGTCCGAGGAGTACTCATCACTGCTGCCGCTCTGCTCAACGCTCATACACGCAGCAAGGAAGGAGGAGGTGGGGATGCCGCTGGAAGGGGGCTCGCCATGGGCAAGTGATGGTACGGTATATCATGTCATGCCATGGCAAAATCTGATATGGTATGGTATGGGATTGTATGAGATGAGATGTGGAGATGAAGCGCGGGGAGACCTCGGGGCCTGTCGGGCACGGTCGGAGTTTACCGCGGGTCAATGCATGGAAAAGCATGGCCAGTGGGGGCGAGGGAGTGGACTCGGTGGAGTGCGGGTTGGGTTGGGCTGAGCTCGGTTAGGTTGGGTTGGGTTGGGTTGGGTCCAGGAGGTGACTGGAGTCTGGTCATCTCGGGTCGGGGTTGAGTCGAGTTGAGATTGGGATTCGGGTGGGGGGTTGACGAGGGGGCAGGGGGGGGGGGGGGGGGGGGGGGGGGCGAAGGGGGAAGGGGGAAGGGGAGGGGGAAGTGCTGTTCATCACACACATCATTCTACGACTGACAAAGCGGAGAATCGTCCTGTCTTGGAGTTGTCGGGGAACCGGTTCGCGGAGGCCCAACTGCGGCATTAGTAGAGAGAGCGGAGCTGCTCTAAAAACCGGACGAGGGTGGGCCTTGGCAACTCATACACTCGCTCGCTCGCTCGCTCACACACTTGCTTTGTTTAGCTTTCTGCGACGCTGCCCGCTTCTGCTTCTCGTGATAGTCGTTAGAACCGCACCCCCGCCTCCCCTCCCTTCCAGTACCATCCCCCCACCATATCATAGTCTCTGAAATTCAGACGCCTCGTTCTTCTCCTCGCCTTTCTTCTCGCTCTCTCTCTCTCACTCATTGTCTCTCATTCTCTCTCTCCTCGGGCTGCCGACATCAGAGAACGGCTCAGACGGGAGCTCGAAGAGCTGCAATATCGCCGCTGGACTCCGAGTCTACAATATACACCGCACCGAATTGTTCTGCGATTCACGAGAGAGACTCTCGTGGCTGCTGCTGCTGACTGCAGACAGAATTCTCAGATTCATCTGATGAGCAATTGGCGGTGGGCAACCTGAGCGACTCCGGGGTTAGGGACCCGGCCCAACGCAACGCGGCGGCCTTGAATTGCTAGAGATTGTAAAATTCCTGGAATTCGGAACAACGCGGGCGCATTTGTCATCTGAATCAGAGAAGTATTCAGCGCTGCTCGCAGCTCTCGGACCCATCCGCCAATGGGAAGCAGCGCGGGCGGCCCTCGGTGTTCGGCATTCTGGGATCGCCTCGCGGCCTGAATGAATGGTGCGGTGCCCCCCTGCGATTGAAATCGAGAACATGGGTCTCTCATCGGGCCTCTCTTCCTTGACTCGCCCGTCCGATAGCAGACCGGAGCTCCTCTCCGAGTCCTGAACCTCAAGGACCTCGAAGCAGATTTCTCAGACTCTCCTCCATCTCTGAGATATAGCGTCGACGCCTGCCTGCCTGCCTGCCTGTCTGCCTGCCTGTCTGCCTGCAGCTTCCCGAGAGTTGGTCCGGGCAAGAATCAGAGCTCGAGAGCTCGCGAGCGATCTGAGGAACCAAGATGATGGCTCATAATCTCGCGACTCATTCTCTAACCTCGGCGCTCAATCATAGATCCCCCGCGTACCTCTCGCAAGATCACCAGGCCGTGCGGCACATTTCCGTCATAACAATGCCGGACATCCTCGAAGCTTTCAACCATTCGCAAGCTATGTCGTCGACCACGAATCTGAGCACCTCGGTGCGAAACAGCGGCGGCGATCCATGGGAGCTTCCGGAGCTCAAGTGGCTGGATCCAGCCGACAATGTGTCAGGCCCCAGCGAGAATCTGCCCGAAGCCGACAATCCGAGCCTCCCAGCGGAGAAGTTCCCCATAGACGGCGAGAGATGGCCCTTCTCGTCGCTCTATGGCGGAGATCGAGTGCCCTCCAATGCCGAGGAGGCTCAATTCTCGCTGCAGTCCATAGTCAGCGCATCCCCAGCCAGCAGCGGCTCGTCGGTTCTGATGAAGGGCCGCATGAGCTTCGTCGGCCGAGACTTCCCATCTTCGGCGCAGCAGCAGCAGGCGCCCGAGTGGCGCAGCACCAGCGGCAGCTCGGGCCACAAGCGCCCGACGTCCGAGAGGCCGGATTCGGACTTCGCGCAGGAGAAGCTGTCGAATTCCGAGCGATCGAGCTTCAAGGACAACAAATCTGTGCCGGACATTCCCGTCTCCAACAGCGAGGTCTCGGCTCTGACAACGACATATCCGCCTGAGAAGCGCAGCCGCACCGCCAGTGACACTCGCGCCACTCGCGACAGCTGCACTCAGGGTGGTGGTGGTGGTGGTGGCGCTGGTGGTAATGGTGGCTCGGGGGCCGATCAGCAGAAGCTCAGCGTCGAGAAGGGCAGCGTCTCCGTCACGAACGATCAGACCGTCAGCCCCGGCCGCGACAGCAAGAAGTCGGCCAACACTGTTTCAGATCATGAAATTCATATCTGGACCGAGCGCGAGCGTCGCAAGAAAATGAACGGAATGTTCTCCACGTTACATTCGCTCCTGCCCCATCTCAACTCCAAGGTGATTATATTCTCCCCCTTCTCGTCCCTCCGACCGACCGAATCGAACAATTCTAATTCTCGCCCGAGGAGTCAATCCCTCGCCTCGAGTTAATTAATCAGCCTTCGTCGTCTTCCTTCCTTCCTTCGTTTTGTTTCTTCTGAGGTCGCTCTTGTCTGTCTGATGCCTCCCTCGGAAATCGATAGAATGGATGAATGGATGAGTGAATGTCTGAGAAATGTCCTTTTCTGGAGCGATGGTTCGATGCTTTTTTTTGGTCGACTCTTCGAGCCCGACAGTCACGAGACGAACACTCAGAGAAGCTTGGAGCGAGCTGAGCTGAGCTGAGTTTGCCGCATCACCAGCGGCAACAGGTGCTGGGTCTTCGAATCTTATCCACACTGTGGAAAGACGACGACGAGGCACGACGAGGAAGGACGACGGCTGCTGCTGCATCTGCACTGATCGCCTTCTGTAGGTTCACTGACTGACTGTGCGGCTCGCCCCGGTGTTAAATAATTCACCGCGCGACTTCGTTGTGATTGCTGCATTTGGCACCTCATGCAGCGGGGCCGGCAGGAGGGCAGGAAGGCAGGGAGACAAGGAGCAATAGCTCTATAGCTGAAATCATGGAGGAATTACGCTTGTACAATTCTCTCTCGTCCAGTATTGGTTGGTGCTCACCCCAGTTCCCACTATTGATTGATCACGAAGCAGCAGCAGCAGCTGCAGCATGCATGCCTCCCTCCCTCCCTCCCTCCCTCCCTTCCTTCCTTCTGACCGACACGAGAGGCGAAACCCCGGAGGATCGCAGCAAGCCAGACAGCCCATGCACATTCATTCTCTTGTTGTAGCTCCTTGCTGTCGGCTCGCTCGCACCTGCAGGTTCCGCAACCCTTCTTCCGGGGCCCGGGGGCCCTCGTAATTACGTCCTTCTGCGAGCTGCAGAAGAAAGTGCAAATTGTGGATTCGCTGCAGCTGCCAATAATGTTAATTCCTCGCAGTCTCCTCCTCGGGCTCCCTCTCAGGCTCTCTCTCTCTCTCTCTCTCTCTCACACTCGAATGTCCGCTGCGAGGACGACGTCAACGCTGCGTCGCGTTGCTGGAGAGCTGGAGAGCGAGAGAGCAAGCAAGCACTGTGCAGGTGAACAGTCGTCTCGTGCATGAGAGAGCTGCCGGGATTGGATATTATCATTCTCGTCGGGCCTGCAAACATCGGAAGCGCGTCTTCTGCACTCGAGAACCTTGCCCTCGCGATGCGCCCTTGCGCGGGTGGTGGGGGATTAGGCTCCGCGGTCTCGATTGGCACAGTAGGAAGCCCAGATTCTTGCCGCCATTACTAGCCTCCCTCCCTCGCTCCGGATGTCTTGTGTCTGAATCGGTCCACGTCGCTGGGTGGGCAATCGTCCGCGGGTTGGTGATCGAATCTATCTGCGTGAGGAATCTACCGTCGCTCGCTATAATCCCGTGGGTTTGTAGATGAATGAGCGAGCCATGCGAGTGGCGGGAGCGACCGACCGAGAGCAGGCAGGGCTGCAATTCATGCTTGACCTCGAGAAGAGATCCTCGAAATCTCGAGCGCTTCAAAGCCCTCTCTGATCCGCGTCTGATCGCAGGACACATGTTCTTTTCTGCACTATGACACCTTGATTCGCTGATTCTGTCGATGGTCGCCAACCTCCATTGATGACGTTCTCAACCTCCGACAGGATATGGTTTCCCTATTTATAGCGCTTGTGCGAGAGAATATATGGCAGCCTCAATTTGATGCTCTTCCCTTCCGGGAGATGCCCAAATGCTCCATAGCCTTGTCTGCTTGCTGCTTGCAGATCCGAGATGCAAGTCAAGCCGCTGCATCCTTACCCAGAGAGTGAATCACTTCCCGCCGTGCTCAGATCCATCGAAGCTTGCATCGAGGATCGAGGCTGTTCTCTCTCTTCCTAGGAACGAGTTTCATGATTTTAATTGGTGAAGGTTTCCCTCTCGCTGGATGATTGACGAGGAGATTGGCAGGTTTCGTTTCAGTCTGGGCATGGTTGTATTGAATGTGTGGGTGGCAGTCCTGCCATTGGCCTTCGAGACGAGCTATGGTTGGAATCCAGGGTCTGATTGTTGAAGCGTTTTGGTGTTTGTGAATACAGGCCGACAAGTCAACAATCGTGGACGAAGCGATTAATTACATACAGACCTTGGAGGGGACGATGAAGGGGCTGATGAAGAGGAAGGGCGAGATGTCGAACGCCTCGAGTACGATGATGCCAACATCGCTGGCCCTTCTGCAAGCGTCGCAGCACGGAATGGCCGAGACGGACAGCGTGTGCAAAGTGTCTCCCACCATCAGCTTCGGCGGAGAGATCAAACCATCGGGAAGTGGCAGCTCGACGCCGACCAGTGAAGCCCAATTCCGAACCCAATTGTCCAAGAACGTCGTCCTCAACATGTGCGGCAACGATGCTTTTATCACCATTTGCAGCCCCCGTGGAAGACTCGGACTCCTGTGCCGTGTTCTCTTCGTCATCGAGTCTCACAATTTGCACGTACTCAATGCTCACATCTGCACCACCAACGACACTATCATGTACATGGTCCACGCGCAGGTATGGACTGATCACTGCTATGTCAGTCAGACACTCCACTCCATAGATTCTCAATATTGTCCTTGAAATTAGCTGAATTTGCTCTTTGACAATATCAGCCTGTTTGAAAATGGTCCATTATCCATAAGCACTAATTGATATTCTCCTTGAGGATTGGTACATAGTATTGGATTTTTGAACTAGTCTGATTGAGTATAGGATATCTGAACTCGGCGGCACACATTCGTGCCATGACTATGGTGGAATCCGTGTGCAAAAATGAATTCCCGAATCTGCAGTTGGATCGAGGGAGGGAGGGAGTAGGTCAGTGTGTTGAAACATTCTGCGTGTGGGCCGAGAATGAAATGTCTGAGGACATTCTATGTGAGCTTGTCAGCTGAAATCTTGTCAGTTAAAAATGCATTGTTTGACTGGGTTGGTGCAGACCACAGAGGACCAGCTGGGGAACTCAGACATGCTGAACATAGCGTTGCAAGACCTGACGAAATGTCTTACCGCACACACCTGACGGGGTTGACATTTTATCGATCTGCTCTACTGTACTCCGTATACGCGTGGTACAAGTCTCATGTGGGACCCAGAGTAGGTCTTTCATGTACAAAGAAATTACGAACCAGACGAACCTCGCATCTTGGGACCGTACATCAAATTGAGTTAAATTGCTGTTGTATTTACCATATAGAATCATACAATCACGCTCTGAAACCTTCCAACTCTCAGCTCAGAGTTTCAAGTCCGACTTCTTCATCAGTGCGAGAGTCTATGGGAGTGCACGGCCTCGATCAGAAAGCTCGAAGATGTAGTGTGTTATCGACATCATTGACTTCCCCGGGCTCTCCACTCCACGTTCATGAGGTGGAACACTCAATGATGACACTGGAAAGAATCTTCTGTTGCAAGCAGGTAGGCCCATCATCACTCCACAGATGAAGAATTCTTTGGAAGTGTATAAGACATCGATACTGGCGAGGGGTCAAGCTCATCCACACATTGCCGGCCCCGCTTTGGAGCTGACATGAGATGAGGTCAAGCCAAGATGGTGCGTGATTGGTTGCAGCCGCTAGTAGACTGAGTATGAAATTAATTTTCATAGGAACAATTAGACCGTCAACCTCACCCACCTGCGGGAGGTGTTGTCATCTCTGCTCTGATCATTTTTGTGAGCTCACATCACTGTAAATCGAGGGCTCCAGCCGTGAAAGAGGACCATGTCATGTCCTTGGCCAGCCCTCGGTCCAGATATCGGAGGATTCTCAGCACACGAGTGATACCAGCAGCAGCAGCAGGTGGTTTAGCCTTCCCAAGAGGTAGTCTGATACAGAAAATGTAGGATTCTTAAACGACTGTTTAGACAGAACGACACGACATGAAGTAGAAGAGTCGAGGATAGTCCAAATTGAGTTTGACCATCGCTGATTCTGTGCGTATGATTAGAGAAGTGCGAAGGCTTCACTTCACCTTGAGCCCAGCCCATGGCTTCGAGTTTAGCTAAGTTAGTGTACTAGTCGAGTGGGCGGGCTGATATCAATCAAAGTCACATAGTTTGAACAAGACCGACATGACATGACATGAGTGTTCTTTTCATCGATGATAGTTAAGAGTGCCGGGGCTCTGCCGACTCCCGTCAGAAAACAACCAAAAGCTTTGTACTAAATTTTCCCCCGCTGAATGTGTATTTTTAAATCGATGGGCCAGCTGCTCGTACTGATTTCATACATCTGGCCGTCCTGTTGTGTACACGAGAGTCGTGACGAGCAATCACGGCACACCGTCGTGTTTGTCGTTGCTTCTTCTTCTTCTTCTTCTTTTTCTTCGTCTGCCCCACAAATGAATGAGTGAATGTTTAATTTTCCCGTTCTGTCTGAGTCTTCTGTATTTCTCGTGTCGACCGAGTCCCCCCCTGTGGCCCTTGGGGCTGGGCAATTCGATGGTTCTGTCATCTTTCGCGTCGCAGACTTGCACGTGTGAGCTCTGAATTTTGTCACTTCGAGACCGACGCAACGATGACGTCAAAAGGCCAGTTCTCAAGTCCCTCAGAACTCCGCTCTGATTGTCTTGCACACAGAGGCATGAATACGAACAAAAATATCACTCACCCGAGCGACTGCTCAGATCGCATTCCGTGGATGGCCGCGTGATCAGTACACAGTGGAGCGCCATAAGTAAAGCATTAAATATCCAGATGTGCACAAATGGCAGCCTCACCGTGGCGGTTCCTGAGTCACAGTTAATTCCCGAGAGTCCTAACCTGAGTCCAGACTGACTGACTCGGCCAAATCTTACACATCTGCGCCTGTGTGATCTGTTAGTTGATCGCCTGATCGTCACAGATCTTTCGTCTCACTCCTCGTACCGTCCGTACCTCGACTTTTATGGCGTCACCGAGACGAGATGATTAGATTACTTTCTCGGAGTCGCAGTGTCGCACTTTTGAGCTCGGTCGCTGCCTGGCCAAGCTAGCGGTACATGCAGTCTGATGCAGTCGGATGCAGTCGGAGGCGTGTTTCGGTAAGCTAAGTGAGTGAGTGAGTGAGTGAGCGAGGAGGAGCGAGGCAGGGCTGAGGAGGAGGTGGTGGTGGTATCTGGGCGTGCAGAGACTCTGATGTCTGAGAGTATGGGTATGGGGTGGGGCTTTGCATGCTCGCTCGCCTGCCTGCCTGCCTGCGATGGTGGTGTCATGGTCATCGGCCCATAACTATCAATCTGGCCATGCAATGCAATTGGGGAAACGTGGCCTGAGCTTGCTGCGAACCGAGATGCAAGGCAGCAGCAGCAGCAGCAGATGTGACAAATTCTGCCTTCACCTCCCATTGCACTTTTGTTTCACTTCCTGGCTTGTGCAGGGGCGGAGGTGCAGGCAATGATTCAGAAGCTACTGCATTGGGCAACATACGAACGACATAGATCAACGAAAGTGGAATCGCCCTCTTTGATCAGAGAAGCGACCACTATTCATGACCGACCATCCCACCCCATATGGCCTTGGATTCAGGTGAGTTCAGACACGAACGAATGAAGGGGCTGTCTCATGTGAGGAGGTGGCGTCCCTTGCATGCTCCTATTTTGCCATTATTCTTTCAGGTAAATCGAACGAGGGTGGCAGTTCTCTTTATGTTTCTGCGAAAATCGACCTCTAGGTCTTTAGTGGGCTCTTGCATATTCCCCCATTCTGCCCCTCTTGTAGTTTGTTCGATGAATCATATAACAGCCAGTCTCAGAGTAACATGTGCCCCCTGCCAAAACCCACAAACAGAGCAAACAGTCTGCTCTTTATGAGCTATTTGTCCCCCCCTCAAGCACAAGCCCTTCCTGTCAGTGTGTGAAGACATGACCAAACCTGTTGTGCCCGGTTGGTCCTCCTCTCTCTTCCTTCCTCGTCCTTCGTTTTCTAATCTGCTTCCTCGATCGAATCGCAAATCTTGTCATCTTGCAACGCTGCCAAGATAATGCAAAGGAGTCCAAGCAAGTCCAAGCAAGTGTGAACTGTCCACGATCGATCTTCTTCGAGATTCAAGAAGAATTTCTATATGCTTCTCTTGTTCACTGCCATTGATTGAGGTCTGTTCTGAGCAGGTTTTTTCTCGTCTTGTCTCGTCTGGTATCTCTCCCTCAGAACCCACCGCACCACACCACAATCTTCTTCCTCTGCTGCCATCCCCTCCTCCTAATAATCTCGTCTCTCCATCCATCCCTCCCTCTCTCTCTCTCTCTCTCTCTCTCTCTCTCTCTGAGCTCAGCAAGCGCAGCTGGCAAAGAATATACAAGTGATGGGTGCCACCTTAGTAATGGGAACACATCTTGCTCCGCAGATGTTTCATGTCCCTGGATTAAAGGCATGCAAAGGACGGTGCTTATAAAATAATTTAACTAATCAATGCATACGAGATTGTCATTTCCGCAAAGGTTATAATCACATGCAGATGTACTTCGATTAGGACTGTTTTGCCTTTGTATTATATGCTGTTGACAAGTCAATTGTGTGGCACGAGCACATCATGAAGCTTAAGTGGGAGCAAATATTATTTTTGTTTCTAACGAACTAAAGTACTTGTTGATCAGCAGATAAAACTCGTAAACTTAGCACCCTTTCTCCTGTAGTGGGATGATTGACCACTGAATGAATAGATGTTCTCGATTTAATCAAACTGACAACTTCCCACACCTCACCAGCTTTGTTTTCTATGCTAGTCTAGTCGAGTGTAGTTTAGTGTAGTGTCTGGAGATCATGAATCCCAGACCTTCAGACGTGTTCTTTTATCATGGCGTCTCCTAGTGGTGTTGGTGTCGATATCATCTTCAGGGTACATATTGCCACAGTACAACTCGTTGTGGCGAGCTTAGAGCGTGCTAAACAACTGCATTAGAGACTTTATTCAGCTCTGCTCGGAGAAAATTTATCTAATTTCTGCATCGGAAGTCCCTCCTTTTAAGTTGGCCTTTGGTTAGTGAAAGAGAAGCAGGAGAGTAATTAATCATCAATTACCATTAACGAAATTTCTTATGTACACATGACAGCCGGCTGATTCGGTCTTCCTCGAAAGGGGAGAGATGCAAAGATAACGCGTTTGTTGATTAAGTCTTCGCTAATCGTACGCTAATGACATCGTGGGGTCTGACGGTAGGCCCTGCTCCAGATGATTTTAATAAATGAAAAGGTTCAGCCAAATTCTTTTCATGTGAAGCAGCAAAATACACAGAGAGATACAATATCTTACAAAACTGAGAAACTGGAATGAAGCCTCCCTTTCAGCGAAATATTTGTTCTTAAGGAAGTTCACTTCCAATCATGACAACGAAGACGAGATCATAGAGAATGAGAAAATTGCTGAGATTGGCTGAAGTTAACTCACATCAGATCTACTAACTCCAAAATCAATCTTTAGAAAGACACTAGAAGATGAATCAAATTGTGCGCTTTATTCTTTCGAAAGAACTCGTGTTAAAGACTGAAGCGAAGAACATTCTCGAGGGTAAGTGAATCGCAAGGCTAAATATGCTCCCGATGTTATGGGTCACGATATAATTAGAATCGTGCCTGATGATTAGAGGCTAATCGTCCAAAAGCTCCTCCACTTCAATACATTCTTCGGAATATTGTCAGCATATACTTTTGTTGCCACTTCAAGTTGATGAATTGACTAGAAAATCGGAAAAGTGTAAGACCGTTATTCGAGAATTGAATAGAGTTGGAACTTGTATGATGACATGGAAATCCCACTGAGATGCAATTTGGAATGCATTCCCATGAATGATTAAATATGTATAAAACCCGTAATAGGTTAGAATCTCAATGATGAGATGGACTTTTGGCACACGAGGTCTACTCATCTACACAAAGCTTTCTCGGGGTGTGCTACTATGTCATATATGACATAAACAAATGAATAGAGTTGGAACTTCTATAATGAGATGGGGCTCGTAGGATTAATTGTGCTCCCCTGATATGACCCAAATCACAAAAACAATTTTGACTTGAAAACAGTGATAATTGTAAAGAAGACCTTGGAATAAAGATCGTAAATTCCATCTGATCTCTTGTAATGCTATTCATCCATCCATTCGTCTTAAAATAGAGTAGAGTTAGAACCCCAAGGAAAAGATCCAGTTTGACAACAGAAACATGTAAGTCCGAACCTAACCCACGAGACAGAAATGTCAAAATTATTCCTGTATAGGAATTACAATACCAATGACCATGTACCACACACATACCACACAAACTTGGCTCAACCATTCTAAACATCCATACCGATACACAATTGAATTGCGTGAGGGTTTCGATGAACATAGATAGACATCACATATAAAATCCACTGCGAAACTAATTCATTATGATGCCTCTCAATTTATGATAAACAAAAATTGATGGCTGAAGACTTCTACGACGAAGAACTGGACCTAGAATTAATTCCCAACTGAACGTGCTTAACATTGCTTATCGTGATGTGATGGCTCCTAGACAAGAGAAGAGCCAAACTCGCTGCTGCTGCTATATCCTTGTCGACTATTATCAAAATCACTAGACAATCAAAAAACTAAGAGCTCATAGCTTCGGGTTGTTATCGATGTTAAACAGTCGAATTCCATTGTGCATGTTTGCAATTTATATCATGTAATGTAACAGTCAAATTAGTTGGGACCATTTCTCAATGAGAGAGTACAATCCAGAACCTGGTTCGATGCGTGCCACAGGCTTGTTTGTGTCCATTGACTCATATATTTAACTCACTGTGCGATACAAAAGATGTCATGGCTTTAATACATTCAAAGGAGTGAAACTGTAGATCTACATGTGACTTGAATTTAGTAAGAGTGTATAAAATGTCATTCAAAGATACTAGGAACTTGGAATAAGAGCTGTCTAAGTTGCAAGGCCCCGTGTCCAAAAGGTCACCTCATTGGATGCAGTAATTCAATTGCTTCGTTAGAAGGCAATAACTATGACATATGAAGTATGAGTGTCTGAAGTTCGTAATATGGACAAATCATTTCTTTTTTTGCATATTCGAGGATGGAGTATATGTATCGAAGCATATGGGAAGCTCAAGCAATTACTCTGCAGTTGTTGGCACATGCTTTCTTGTACGAAGAGGAAGAATGACGAAATTTGTTGGGTCAAAAAAAGCCAAATGATTATGACTTTCTTAAAACAGCCACTAGTTAACCCTCTATTGCATGTGAGTTTTGAAGATTATAGGG